TATCCTGTCACTTTTCAAAATTGATTGATTAGTTTAGTTAGTTTTTCTGTGGAGTTTTTGGGGTTCTCTATCTATATTATCATATCATCTGTGAATAGTTATAGTTTGACTTCTTCCTTATCTATTTGGATTCTAGTATGTCTTTCTCTTATCTTATTGCTCTGGCTAAACTTCCAGTATTATATTGAAAAGCAGTGGTGAGAGTGGACTCCTTGTTTTGTTCCAGATCTTAATGGAAATGCTTTCAGCTTTTCACCATTCAGGATGATATTGGCTGTAGGCTTGTCATATATGGCCTTATGATGTTGAGGTATGTTCCTTGTATCCCGAGAATTTCAAAGCCTTTACCATAAATGGGTGTTGTACTTTGTGAAAGCTTTCTCAGCATCTATTGATATTATCATATGGTTTTTATATTTCATTTTGTTGATGTGTTGGATTACATTGATTGATTTTCAGATGTTGAACTATCCTTGTGTCCCTGGAATAAATCCTACCTGGTCGTGGTGAATTATCTTTATATATATATATATATATATATATATATATATATATTTGTATTCACTAAGATATAGATATTCATAATGGCCTCTTATTATCCACTGATTTTTTTTGTGGTGTGTTGTAACCTTTTTCCATTTATGATACTATTTATTTGATTTTTCTCTGATGTTTATCTATTTTATTATTTTAAAGAAATAGCTTTTAGATTCATCAATCTTTAAGATTGACTTTTTAATTTCCATTTAATTTATTTATGCTCTAATTTTATTTCTTATCTTCTATTTTTTTCCTTCTTCTCTTTCTAGTCTTGAGAGTTAAATTTATTCATTTAGTGCCTCCCTGGTAGTGCAAGACATTAATACACAACATATGAAGCTATCTGCAGCCTCTGCAGCATGAATTTGATTCCCAGTCATGGAGCTATGCACATAGCACAGCACCTCTCCTGACTTTCCCGCTGCTTCCCTCAGGAGTGTGTTTCAGTTGATCTGCCCGTTCTGTTCCCCTGCTGTCTCTGGTGAATCCTCTCATCCCCCACATCTCTGTCTTCTACCCCAGTTCTTGTGTGTTGAAATACTTAAACCCTTCAAAAATTTTTTCATTTAAATTATTTAAATTTTCTGGAAGTGGACCTGCTTCCCTTTCAGTACTGCTTCTGTGATTAATTTCTGCAAGTTCATGTCCCCATTATAATATCTTAGTATTTCAGTTTCTCCCTTGGTTTCCTCACTAGCCCAATTATCTAGGCAGACCACAGTTCAATCTCTACATACTAGAGGTTTCAACATTCTATTTTGTTATTTAATTTCTAGTTTGAAACCTTTTTTGATCAGAGAAGATGCTTGGTAACATTTCAGACTTCATGAATTTGTTAATACTTTTCTTGTGACCTAATATGTGGTTGATCCTAGAGAATTTATCATGTGCATTTGAGTGTGTATTCAGCTGTTTTGAGGTACAGTCATCTATAAATAGCTATTAGACTCATGTGGTCCTCATTTAAGGCAATCATGTATTTAATTATTTTCTACTTGTTGATCTACAAATGATTACAGTTGGGCTCTGAATTCTTCTACCACATATGTATTTTTTCCTTTCCAATTTCTATTTTCAGAGTTGATGATTGTAAGGTAAATGATTGTCAGGCTTTTCTGTCCTTCCTCCATCAGTGTGGATAATGAATCCTTATGGTCCTGTATGCATGCCTGATGGCGGGCACCTAGGGTGCTGTGTGGGCATATGTAGGTGGGTTCACCTAGGCTGAAACAGGACCTAAAAGGTGGCATCACAAGGATGCCAGAGGAACAGACCAGAAGGAGAACCAGGATAGAGTAAGAGAAGCAGAAGAGAGAGAACGAGACCATGAGAGAACATGGAGAGCACAGGAAGAGTGAAGATTCGCTGGGAGCTGGGAGATCTCCTTCCTCCCAGCCTCCTGGCACCCCTGCTTGCCATATACCTGGTAAATGCAATGAAATCCTGAAAAAGCCACCAAGGGCTCCAGGACTGTCCTTTACCTGTCTGCTTGGGTCATAGATATCCTGCTCTGTCTCTTCCTGCCACTACAATGATAACACCTGAATGTATTTTGGTTCTTTTTCATTTGGTGAGTATATATTGATGTACATTATACCCCCTAATATATTTTTGCTTAATCATTATATAGCATCCATCCCTGTTGCCTTTCTTAACTGGAAATATTTTTTTTTTCTTCTAGAAGTATGGATGGCCTTGCATTCTTTTGTGTCTGTAGGGTAGGTAAAAGGTATCAGGCTTTTCTGCCTTCCTGCCGTTAGGATAGATGACGGAACCCTGTGGTCCTGAGTGCATGCCTGATGGCGGGTACCTGGAGTGGGGTGTGGGCATGCATAGGTGGATACACCTGGGCTGAGAGACTGGTTTATAAGGGTGGCGCAGCACAGTGCGGTGTGGTGGTGCTGTGTCAAGGGTGGAGGAGTGCAGTGGAGTGTACGGAGGAGTACGGCGACTACAAACAACGGCAAAGAGCATGTGGCTGCTAGAACCATTAATAAACCTACCCAGAATGGGTTGGTTGCGTTACAGTGTCCCATTAGCTTATGGATTTTGGTTTTTTTTTGAGCCTATTTACCTTTTTGTGCAGAGGAGTATCTCCTAGATACAGAAAAAGTTGAATTCAGGTTAATGATCTAACCAGTTATTTGTGTCATTCATTCAATTGGTGATTTTAGTCCAATTACAATAAGTATTGATATATGAAAATCTCTTTGGACCATTGTAGGGGTCAGGAATAGGCACAGCGCAGGTTTTCTGATCCAGCAGACCAGGTAAAGGAGGAGTCAGAGTCCTCAGTGGCCTTTACACGCCTTTTATTTAGATTTACCAGGCATATGGCAGGTAGAGGTGCTGGGAGGCCGGGAGCCTGGCAGGCCTCCCAGTCCCCAGCAAGTCTTCACTCCATCTGGGCTCTCCGGCCTTCTCTCGTGTTCTCTCTGCTTCTCTGTTCTCCTGCTTCTGTTCATTCTTGGCTTCTGCTGGCATCCCCATGACACTGCCCTTATAAACTCAGTCTCTCAGCTCAGGTGTACTCACTTCAGGTGCCCGCCATCAGGCATGTATTCAGGACCACAGGGTCCCTCATCTATCCTAATGGTGGGAGGGCAGAAAAGCCTGATAATTTTTCATTACCCTACAGCCATATTGTCCTTAATTTTGCGGTTCTATTCATTTCCTTGTTTAGATCTTCGTGTCCATTCCTCTTTTAATTTAAATACTAGATACTCCTTTAATATTCATGGAATTACAGTCCAGTGGTGTAGTGTAAATGATTGTCAGGCTTTTCTGCTCTCCCGCCATTAGAGATGATGATGGATCCCTGCAATCTTGAATGCATGTCTGATGGCGGGCACCTGGAGTAGGGTGTGGGGATACAAGGTGGGTACACCTGGGCTGAGACTGGGCTTATAAGGGCAGCATCAGAGGGACACCAGGAGAACAAGCAAGAGAATAGAACAGCCAGAAGAGAACAGAGATAACAAGAGCAGAACCAGGAGAGAACGACAGAGCCCAGAAAGAGTGAAGACTTGCTGGGGGCTGGGAGGCCTGCCAGGCTCCAGGGCCTTGGCGCCCCTGCCTGCTGTGTACCTGGTAAATCTCACTAAAGCCTGAAAAAGCCACTGAGGGCTCCAGCACTCTCCTTTACCTGTGTGCACAGGATCACAGAAAAATCCTGCCCTGTGTCTTCCTGCCTCTACAAGTGGCTACAAACTGCTTAAAATTCTGTTTGTCTGTGTAGGCCTTGACTTCTCCCTTATACCTGAAAGAGAGCTTTGCAGGATCAAGTATTCTTGGCTGGCTGTAGGGTAAGGTAAAAGGTATCAGGCTTTTCTGCCCTTCCGCCATCAGGATAGATGAGAGAGCCCTGTGATCCTGGGTGCATGCCTGATGGCGGGCACCTGAAGTGGGTACACCTGCGCTAAAAGACTGATAATATAAGGGTGGTGCAGCAGAGTGCGGTGTGGTGGTAGTGCGGTGTTAAGGGTGGAGGAGTGGAGTGTACGGAGGAGTGTTGGAGCGACTACAAACCACGGCGAAGAGCATGTGGCTGCTAGAACCGTTTATAAACCTGCTCAGAATGGGTTGGTTGCTTTACAACTGGCGTAGACGGCAGGACGGTTCGAGGCAGGACAGCTCTACGCAGACGAAACCCTTTGAAATCTGGAGAGGGATCCCTGGATGGCCGGCCACGAGCAGATGGTACCCGGTGGCCGACCTCCTCGCCCAGTGGGCACCTCCCCAGGAATGGCCAGAGGTAGATGGATCCCCGGGGCAGTTGGAACAGGCCCTGTATGAAATAGAAGAAACCCTGAGTGGATGCAGTGCCCGCGAGGCGGCAGGAGCCGTGGGATGGGTGTTTCTCACGGCTCTGCGAGAGTCCAGGCGGAAAGAGCAATCTAGGATCCAGCAAGTACTGGATGAGATGCGAGAAGAGATACGAGAAGAGATGCGGATACAGCAACAACATTTGAGGATTCTGGAGGAAGAAGTTCGGAGAAACCGACCCACCCCTCCCGAGATGCCAGACTCCGTCTCAGGAAGGAAGGAGAGGGAGGCTGGCCCTTTGCGCGAATCACAGCCGGGGGTGGCAAACCAGCCTGCGACTCCAGAGATGCCTGACCCCTGCTCAGGAGAGGAGGAGAGGGAGGCTGAACCTTTGCCTGAGTCCCAACCGGCAGTGGTAAACCAACCCGCCACCCCGGAGATGCCGGACTCCTCTGGAGAGGAGGAGGAGGCCGGGCCCATGCTCCGGGCCCGCCCGGTGGTGACTCAGAAAATGAAGCGGCAGCGACCCATGGCCCCAGGGGGTCAGGCAGCGGGACCACCACAGATGACGGAATTTACTACCTACAGACCTTACACCCAGGCGGAACTGGTGGACTTGGGCAAACAGTTCCGCCAGAAACCAGGGGAACCCTTGGCAGCCTGGCTGCTACGTTTATGGGACCTGGGGTGGATGGGATTATTTGCACGGCTCAAGAGATGGAGAGACTGGCCTCCGTGACTTCACACCCATCCTTGCGACAGAGGCTGCAGAACAGCCGGCGGTATGGCCAGGGCGACCACACCCTCCTGGAGTGGATAATGGCTGCCATACGGACAGTCTGGGCTGATGCGGGAGATGTGCCGGAGACAGTAAGCGGATGGCAGACGTACGCCGAGCTGGTGCAGGTACTTCGGGAATTGGGGATGCGGCAGGCCATGTTTAATGTGAATACGCGTGGTCCTGACGACGAGCGTTTCACAGCAGGAATGAGAGACTTGGTATTAAAGGATGCCCCCTCCTCTACATTTGGATCCCTCATGGCAGTACTAGCACCCTATGTGGGACGTCAGATACATGACGTCACCACCATGATAGCCAGCTTGGGAGAAGTTGAGAGCCGGCGCTCTCAGAAAGGAATACGGGTAGTTTCAGAAAGGTCAAAAGGAATGCCAAGGAGGGCAAGGAGGCCTCTTGGCATCACAGAACCTATAAAAGTCACCCGTAAACAAATGTGGATGGATTTAATAAGAGCAGGCGTAGATAGCACTAAAATAGACGCACAGCCCAATGCATATTTATTGGAATTATGGCAGCAGCTGCGAGAAGACCAGAGGTTCACACCCATGAGAAGGACTGCTGCTCAAGGGGAGCCTGGAAACCCCAGGCCTCAGGCACGCGCCCTGCGGCTGGAAGACCACTTGCTGCCAGCCCCGTCCTCGGGTGATGGCCTGATATCCTTTGAATAGGGTGAGGGCCAAGGAACCCGTCCACAGGGGACGGGCGGGGACCGGAGGCCACATGTGGAGCTTGCCATTCACTGGTCCCCGACTAACGTACAAAGGGTTTTAGCGCTAGTAGACACAGGAGCAGAATGTACTCTGCTCTATGGAAATCCGGAAAGATTTCATGGGTCTACTTGTTATATTGATGGCTATGGAGGCCAGAGTGTCAAGGTGACAGCAGTAAAACTATCTCTGGGGATTGGGCGATTACCCCTAAAGAGTATAAAGTGTATGTATCGCCCATCCCGGAGTACATCCTGGGGGTGGATGTACTACGTGGCTTATGGCTAGAAACCACAATCGGAGAGTTTCGCCTTAGAGTGCGCGTGGTAAAGGCAGTGGTGAGAGGACATGCTAAGCATCCGCCCCTACAACTGCCAGTCCCTAGGCGAGTGACTAATACCAAGCAATATCGGTTGCCCGGAGGCTACAAAGAAATTACAGGCACAATATCAGAGCTGGAGAAAGTGGGCATTGTGCGTACTGCCCACAGCCCCTACAATTCGCCAGTGTGGCCGGTGAAGAAGCCCGATGGCTCTTGGCGCATGACAGTAGATTATCGTGAATTGAATAAGGTAGTTCCCCCCTTGCATGCTGCAGTGCCTTCAGTGGCAGATTTGATGGATCGTCTGAGCCACGAGCTAGGAATGTACCATTTTGTAGCTGATCTGGCAAATGCTTTTTTTCCATAGATATAGCCCCAGGAAGTCAAGACCAATTCGCCTTCACCTGGGAAGGCCGGCAGTGGACATTCACTGTGCTGCCACAGGGATACCTGCACAGCCCGACTCTGTGTCATGGGCTGGTGGCAGCAGATTTGGCCCGGTGGGAAAGGCCATCTTCAGTGCGTTTATACCATTATATTGATGATATTTTATTGACAAGTGACTCTCTTACAGATCTGGAAAAGGCAGTACCTCTCTTATTAACACACCTGAAAACATGCGGCTGGGCAATCAACGAAAGCAAACTGCAGGGGCCTGGACTGTCAGTTAAGTTCCTGGGAGTTGTTTGGTCGGGTAAGACAAAGGTTATCCCTGAAGCTGTGATAGATAAAGTTCAAGCTTACCCCACTCCAACCACAGTGAAGCAGCTGCAAGCCTTTCTGGGTCTGCTGGGTTACTGGAGGGCATTTATACCTCACATGGCCCAGCTCTTACGGCCCTTGTATATGTTAATACGAAAGGGAGCCAGGTGGGATTGGTCAGCTGAGGCAGACACAGCATTTGCCACGGCCAAACGAACTATAAAGACTGCTCAGGCCTTGCAGGTTTTTGACCCAGCCCGACCCTGTGAGCTCGATGTACATGTTACTCAGGAAGGGTTCGGGTGGGGACTCTGGCAGAAATCAGAGAGGCTACGACAGCCTATTGGGTTCTGGTCCCAACTCTGGAAGGGGGCTGAGGTTAGGTACTCCTTAATTGAGAAACAGTTAGCTGCGGTATATGCAGCCTTACTAGCCACAGAAAGTATAACTGCCACAGCCCCTGTCTCAGTGAGAACCACTTACCCAATAGCTGGATGGGTACGGGACTGGACAACAAAGCCCCATAGTGGCACTGCTCAAACGCCCACTTTGGCGAAGTGGGGGGCATACTTAGAACAGCGCTGCACCCTGTCAACTAGCCCCTTAAGGGTGGAGTTGCAGGAGGTTCTTGGTCCTGTGACATATACTAGTATGGAACCAAATTCAGAAGCCTGTATAGAAGCCGAACCTGAAGCTAGTCCCTACAAGGAGGGTCGAGCACCGATTCCAGCAGAGGCCTGGTATACAGATGGCTCCAGCCGGGGCCAGCCAGCCTCTTGGACAGCGGTGGCTGTACACCCAGAAACAGACACTATCTGGTTCGAAACCGGGACGGGACAGAGCAGCCAATGGGCTGAACTGCGAGCAGTATGGATGGTGGTGGCCCATGAGCCTTCCCCTGTAGTAATCTGTACTGACAGTTGGGCTGTGTACAGGGGTCTGACACTGTGGATTTCCACATGGAATTTAAATGACTGGACAGTTATGCATCGGCCATTGTGGGGCCAGGCCCTATGGAAAGATCTATGGGATCTGGGGCATCAGAAGCAGGTGACTGTTTATCATGTCACAGGACATGCCCCATTAGCCTCACCAGGCAATGATGAGGCAGATACCCTAGCCCGGGTTCGATGGCTTGAAACTGCTCCAGGGCGGGATGTTGCGCAGTGGCTACACAGACGCTTGCTCCACGCAGGGCAGAAGACAATGTGGGCCACTGTACGTGCCTGGGGTCTACCTGTAACTTTAAAAGAAATCCAGACTGCATGTGAAACATGTGTAGTATGTTCTAGGACTTACCCCCGGAGACCTTTTGCATCTACAGGCCAGGTGTTGCGGGGGCAGGTACCCCTGACACGCTGGCAGATTGACATCATTGGACCACTACCTCGCTCCGATGGACAACAGTATGCTGTCACCTGTGTGGACACTGCTACCGGGTTATTGGCAGCTTACCCTGCTCCACATGCGGACCAAAAGGCAGTTTTGGCAGCACTGGCACGCCTATGTGCTGCATATGGACGTCCGCTGGTAGTGGAGAGCGATCAAGGGACTCATTTTACAGGAGCCCGGGTGCAGCAGTGGGCCAAGAACATGGGTGTTGAATGGAAGTTTCACACTCCCTATAATCCCAAAGCTGCAGGGATTATAGAGAGGTATAATGGCCTACTGAAGCAAGGACTAAGAGCCACTGCCCCCACTCAGACGCTGGCCGGGTGGAGCCGACGTCTCTGGGAGGTGTTGCAGACATTGAATGAGAGGAGCAGGAGAGGCGGCCTGGCTCCAGTGGAGGCATTGCTACATCGTGCCGCTGCTCCCATCCAATTACAAATAAAGACGTCAGACATCTTATTAAAACCGGGACTTGGACAGCAGGGCAACATCCTATTGCCAGCCCCAACTGGAGTGGACCCAGGGCAGACTGTGGACTGGGAATGGCCCTGGACAGTGAAGGCTCCCCACATGCGGTGGGTGGCTCTGATAGCCCCTTGGGGTCGTGGCCTGGAGGCCAATTTACAGATAAAACCATGGGTGAGTGCTCAGTGGCCGCCACGGGTGCGTGTTACCCACCCTGGAGTAACAGATCAGCAGGCAATCCTCAAGGGACATTTGTAATAACTCTGTGGCCCATTATGAGCTCTCCACTCCTGCTGCATGTAGAACCCACTGATGCCTCTTCACTGGCAAAGCGAGTGTGGTACTCACGCCCTGGAAGGCCACTGATGCCAGCAACAATATTGTCTTCGGATGCCAAATTAGCATGTATATTGCCCGATGGGAGGGATCTCCCATTGCTGGTACCAGTAACTTCTCTGTCCTTCCGCCCCTAGGAAAATTAAGTTTAGTCATTTTGTGGTGTGTTTGCTTTTGTGGTCCAGGGCTGCACTGTTTATGTTTGCTTAAAAAAATTGTACATACGTAGACTATGTGGCAGAAAACCCTGAGGGGGTGGACTGTAGGGTAAGGTAAAAGGTATCAGGCTTTTCTGCCCTTCCGCCATCAGGATAGATGAGAGAGCCCTGTGATCCTGGGTGCATGCCTGATGGCGGGCACCTGAAGTGGGTACACCTGCGCTAAAAGACTGATAATATAAGGGTGGTGCAGCAGAGTGCGGTGTGGTGGTAGTGCGGTGTTAAGGGTGGAGGAGTGGAGTGTACGGAGGAGTGTTGGAGCGACTACAAACCACGGCGAAGAGCATGTGGCTGCTAGAACCGTTTATAAACCTGCTCAGAATGGGTTGGTTGCTTTACACTGGCAGCTTTTATTGTTAATATTTTTAATATGTCATCCCATTCTCTTCTCTTCCACAGTATTTCTTCAGAGAAATATGATGTTAACATAACATCATCAACATCTAATTCTTCCCCCTTATCAGATTCATTATTCTCTTTGTTTTAAACTCTTGAAAGTTTCACTAGTATGCATTTTGTTATAGGTAGCCTTTTGTTATTTTAGCTTCTTATATTTGTATGTTAATTTCCTCCTCTAAATTTGGGAATTTGTCCTCCATTATTTCTTTAAATTCTTGTGTACTTTTTTTCCCCTTCTGTCTCTCTTCCCTCTCTGTAATATCTATGATTCTAGATTTCCATTCCTCATGAAGTCAGAAAATTCTCAAATTGTTTATTTTTTAAACCATTTTTTTTTTAATTTTGTCTACCTAGATTTTTTTTTTTCCCCATTTGGATATTCAAGGTTACTGATTCAGTCTTCCATTTGTTCTATTCCATTTCCATAGCTTTCTCCAGATTTTTTTAACCTCTGGTGATCTTTTTACTACCTCAACTTTACCATTTTCTTATTTCAAGTTTCAATTTCAAACCTCTGTTCATTTTTCATGGATCTCATTGCAGTCATTGGCTTTTCCGAGTTTTGCTACATACCTTTGATCTCACTTTCTGTGTTTTCTCCATATTATTCCATTTTTGAATTTTTTTATGTTGACAATTTTGAATTCTCTATATGATAGAGTCTTACACATATTTGTGTTTGGATACAGGAGATTTGTTCTCTTTCTGTGGTGTATTATTCCTGATGACTTACATGGTAATTTTTAATTTTTTTTCTTCACATTATTTACATTAGGGGCCACAATTTTATAATTGGGGCTATTTGTTGGCAAGGGACTTCTTCCCATATTCATCCAGAAGCTGTCTATGCAGTGGGCATGGAGGTGGTTTGTTGTATTATAAGGCAGCACTGGATCCACCTGAAATCTGAACTGGTAAATCACTGGGTAATATGTGCATCAGTTGGGACTTTGAGGGGTCTGGGGTGGTGCTGTTTTTGTTCTGAAAGCTGGTTTGTGTAATCACCACCTGGTGGACTAATATGTAACAATCTTAGGAGCATCTGAGTTCCCATTAAAGCACCATCAACATTTTCACAGAGCAAACAGAATGAGTTGAGACCTATCTTATTCTATCTGGAAAATAAGGTATTTGCTATATCATCAGAGGTTAGGAAAGATAACACATTTAGGTGAGTAGCAGGAGTAGAAGAAGGTATTCTAACCAGTGAAATATTTTGTACTTAGATGTACAGAAATTACATACTATCTGTTGATGGAGAGTATAGTGCAATAGTGATGAATTATAATAAGAATTAGGGTAAATTTATATTGGTACTACAGGGGAAAAGAAAGTGAAGTGTAGGATTTTTATATTTTATTTGTTTCCCCCAGAAAATTTCATATACATTATAGTCATTGAAAAAAAGAGAAAATGACTAGGGCCTCCCCTTGTGGCACAGGCAGTTGAGCTAAGCCCTGTAAAACTGTCTGTAGCCTCTGTAGCATGGGTTCAATCCCGGCCACCGGCGAGAATCCCACATGGTAAGGCAGACCTCCCCTGTCTCATCAGCTGCTCCCCTCAGCAGTGTGTTTTGGTCAATCTGCCTGTTTTGTTCCCCGCTCTGTTTCTAGTGAATCCTCTCACCCTCCTGCACATCTGGCCTATACCCTTGTTCTTGTATGATGAATAAATAAATCTTTATTTTTTTAAATGGAAGGTTTTTTTAAAATTTATTTATTTATGCATATAAGAGCTGGGGTACAGGCCAGGAATGTGGGGGGGTGAGAGGATTCACCAGAGACAGAGTGGGGAACAGAACAGGCAGACTGACTGAAATATACTGCTGAAGGGAGCAGTGGGCGAAGCACAGCAGACTATGTGGATTGTTCCCTGGCAGCCCGGGGATCGAATTTGTGCTATAGAGGCTGTGGGTTGCTTCAAAGTGTGGTGCTTAACCCCTTGTGCCACCAGGGAGGTCCCAATAAATAAATCTTAAAAAAAAAAAAAGACTAAATGATAATAATCTGAAAATGCTGAATTGAGCTGACACAATTTTATACAGATTTTTTTATCATATCATAATGTTTCTAAACAGACTTATTGTGATGGTAAAAATAGCACAAATTCTCCTTGATATATGAATTAGTTTAGGTTTACCAAGAAGCAAATGCCAAGGAGGGTGGTGTCTAAATGTACAAAATATTTACTGGGAACTAAAGAGAAGGCTGAGTAAAAGACTCAATGTTGTAATGTAAGTCTTTAATATGGGTAATGAGAGAAGGAAGGAGGATTGAATGGCTAAGAAGAGTTTTAAACTCCATTAAAGTTACAAAAATGTTTAGTAGGGCTCATAATTACTACTTGAGCCAAAGACATTCAAAATTGCCCTGTGTTTCTCTCGACAAGCTTAAATAAGTGCTGCTGCATGTTGGATTTTTAGTCGGGATGTGACCATAGGAAGTCCAACTTTGCAATAAATGCAATAGCATATTTAGGGGGAAGCAGATGGAGTCAACAGCCCATTATACTCTTCACAGCAGGAAGAGTGAGTAGAACATTTTCATAGTTGCCATAATATCAAATACAAATGAAATATTCTCTGAAGATCGGTAATGCAAATAGAATCAACCATTTAGAGATCACATTCCTCAAAATACAAGAATCGTAGTTTTCTTAATGTTCTTCTATGTGCAACTGTAGCTTCCTGAGGTGTAATAATAAAGAATAGAAAATAGATCTCTGCATTTCCCTGAAATGACTGGGCTATTAAAATAACAGACTTGGAGGCCTTATAACTAAGTATAACTATGTTTATATGTATAAAATGTGATGAATTCACATAAATGTTTTTCATTTTAATTTTTTATTTAGTTTTGTGTGGAAGAACTGGAGATATAGACAGAGTTGCAGGGATTGAGAGGGTTCACCAGAGACAGAGTGGGGAGCAGTACAGGCAGATTTACTAAAATACACAGCTAAGGGGGAGCAGTGGGTGAGACAGGAGAGATCTGCTGCACTATGAGGGTTAGCTCTGGCCAGGTGATAACTTGATAGTGGTGAGATTTAATTAATCCCTTGCACCACCAGGAAAGCCCCTGTCTTGAGGTAATTTTTAAAATTTCTTCTTTAATGTCCCCATAAATACAATTGTCATTCAGGATTATGCTGTTGAGTCCACCTATTAGATATTTTTTTTTTGTTTTCTTTTTGTGTTTGTTTTTAGTTTGATTCCATTGTGATCAGAGAATTTAGTTGATGTGATTTCAATTTTCATGAATTTACTGACACTTGTTTTGTAACACATCATGGTGTCTATTCTAGTGAAAAACTGTTCCCTGTGCATTTGAGAAGAATTTGTTCTCAGCTTCTATGGCAATATTTACACCTTATAAATATCTATTGAACCCATACGGTCTAACTTTTTTGTAAGGCTACTGTGTCTTTGCTGTTATTCTGCTGGCCAATTTGTTTATTGATGAATGTGGGACATTGAAGTCCCTTACTCCTATTTTTTTCATTTCTGTTTTCAAATTTGTTATTAATTGCCCTATATATGTTGATGTTCCTTCATTTGGTACCTATATATTGATATATGTTATGTCTTCCTGATATATTCCTCCATTTTTCATTATATAGTGTGCATCCGTTTTTCTTGTCACCTTTTCATCTGGATGTATATTTGCTGTGATATTTATGGTTGTACTTGCCTTTAGGGGTTTCAGTTTGCTTATAAGATTTTTTTTCCTTACCATTTTTGAAGGTAAGGAATCTTCCTTACCATTTTTGAAGCTCCATTTTGGAGCTTAGATAGGTCACCTTCAATTAGTTAATGGTGGGTATTATATTCTGATCCAACCATCCAGTCTGTACCTTTTGATTGATGAATTTAGTCTATTTATATTTAAAGTATATATTGGTATATTAAGAATTTTTATTACCATTTTGTCATTAGTTTTGTCAAAGGGAAAAACCATAAATAAAAAGCGGCTGTCCCAGTTTCTGAGTCCTTTGGTTTGCTTAAGGCCTTGGGACAGGACAAAAAACAAACTTATAAGAAGAAAAATTTTAAAAGGTATATTCACAAAGAAACTTAAAAGAGTAAACAAAAGAGAGAAACAGATACAGATAGAGAAATTACTTGTTGTCACTACATGTCATCTGTCCTAATGGTAATACCAGGATACTTGTAAGAACTTAAAAACAAACAAAAAAAGGCCTCCCCTGGTGGTGCAGCAGTTGAGCACTGGGCTGCAAAGCTGCCCGCAGGCTCTATAGCACTGGTTTGATCCCCAGCCACTGGCGAGTGTCCCACACAGGGCGCAG